TCACACACACACACCTAGTTACTCACTCACTCACACACACACCTAGTTACTCACTCACACACACACACACCTAGTTACTCACACACACACTCACCTAGTCACCTAGTTACTCACTCACACACACACACACCTAGTTACTCACTCACTCACACACTCACCTAGTCACCTAGTTACTCACTCACACACACACTCACCTAGTCACCTAGTTACTCACTCACTCACACGCTCACCTAGTTACTCACTCACACACACACACACCTAGTTACTCACTCACACACACACACACCTAGTTACTCACTCACACTCACACACACCTAGTTACTCACTCACACACACACACACCTAGTTACTCACTCACACACACACACACCTAGTTACTCACTCAATCACACACACACCTAGTTACTCACTCACACACACACACACCTAGTTACTCACTCACACACACATTCACCTAGTCACCTAGTTACTCACTCACACACACACACACCTAGTTACTCACTCACACACACACACACACCTAGTTACTCACTCACACACACACACACCTAGTTACTCACTCACACACACACACACCTAGTTACTCACTCACACACTCACCTAGTTACTCACTCACACACACACACACCTAGTTACTCACTCACACACACACACCTAGTTACTCACTCACACACACACACACCTAGTTACTCACTCACACACACACACACCTAGTTACTCACTCACACACTCACCTAGTTACTCACTCACACACACACACTCACCTAGTTACTCACTCACTCACACACACACCTAGTTACTCACTCACTCACACACTCACCTAGTCACCTAGTTACTCACTCACACACACACACACACCTAGTTACTCACTCACTCACACACTCACCTAGTCACCTAGTTACTCACTCACACACACACACACACCTAGTTACTCACTCACACACACACACACACCTAGTTACTCACTCACTCACACACTCACCTAGTCACCTAGTTACTCACTCACACACACACACACCTAGTTACTCACTCACACACACACACACCTAGTTACTCACTCACACACACACACACCTAGTTACTCACTCACTCACACACTCACCTAGTTACTCACTCACACACACACACACCTAGTTACTCACTCACACACACACACACACCTAGTTACTCACTCACACACACACACACCTAGTCACCTAGTTACTCACTCACACACACACACTCACCTAGTTACTCACTCACTCACACACTCACCTAGTCACCTAGTTACTCACTCACACACTCACACACTCACCCACACACTCACACACACCTAGTTACTCACTCACACACACACACACCTAGTTACTCACTCACACACACACACCTAGTTACTCACTCACACACACACACACCTAGTTACTCACTCACTCACACACTCACCTAGTCACCTAGTTACTCACTCACACACACACACACACACCTAGTTACTCACTCACACACACACTCACCTAGTTACTCACTCACTCACACACTCACCTAGTCACCTAGTTACTCACTCACACACACACACACACCTAGTTACTCACTCACTCACACACACACCTAGTTACTCACTTACTCACACACACACTCACCTAGTTACTCACTCACACACACACACACACCTAGTTACTCACTCACACACACACACACCCCTAGTTACTCACTCACACACACACCTAGTTACTCACTCACACACACACACACCTAGTTACTCACTCACACACACACACACCTAGTTACTCACTCACACACACACACACCTAGTTACTCACTCACACACACACACACCTAGTTACTCACTCACACACACACACACCTAGTTACTCACTCACTCACACACTCACCTAGTCACCTAGTTACTCACTCACACACACACACACCTAGTTACTCACTCACTCACACACACACCTAGTTACTCACTCACTCACACACACACCTAGTTACTCACTCACACACACACACACCTAGTTACTCACTCACTCACACACTCACCTAGTCACCTAGTTACTCACTCACACACACACACACCTAGTTACTCACTCACACACACACACCTAGTTACTCACTCACACACACACACACCTAGTTACTCACTCACACACACACACACCTAGTTACTCACTCACTCACACACTCACCTAGTCACCTAGTTACTCACTCACACACACACACACCTAGTTACTCACTCACTCACACACACACCTAGTTACTCACTCACTCACACACACACCTAGTTACTCACTCACACACACACACACCTAGTTACTCACTCACTCACACACTCACCTAGTCACCTAGTTACTCACTCACACACACACACACCTAGTTACTCACTCACACACACACACCTAGTTACTCACTCACACACACACACACCTAGTTACTCACTCACACACACACACACCTAGTTACTCACTCACTCACACACTCACCTAGTCACCTAGTTACTCACTCACACACACACACACCTAGTTACTCACTCACTCACACACTCACCTAGTCACCTAGTTACTCACACACACACACACTCACCTAGTCACCTAGTTACTCACACACACACTCACCCACACACTCACCCATACACTGACCTAGTCACTCACTCACTCACCCACTCACCCACTCACTCACACTCACTCACTCACACACTTACACACTCACTCACACACTCACTTAGACACTGACCCACTCACTCACACACTCACTTACTCACACACTCACCTAGTCACTTACACACTCACTCACTCACCTAGTCACCCACTCACTTACACACTCACCTAGTCATCTAGTTACTCACTCACACACTCACACACTCACCCACACACTCACCCATACACTGACCTAGTCACTCACTCACTCACCCACTCACCCACTCACTCACTCACACACTTACTCACTCACGCACTCACTCACTTAGACACTGACCCACTCACCTAGTCACCCACTCACTTACACACTCACCTAGTCATCTAGTTACTCACTCACACACTCACTCACACACTCACCTAGTTACTCACTCACTCACTCACACTCACTCACTCACTCACACACTCACACACTCACTCACACACTCACACACACACTCACTCACACACTCACCTAGTTACTCACTCACTCACACACTCACCTAGTCACCTAGTTACTCACTCACACACTCACACACTCACCCACACACTCACCCATACACTGACCTAGTCACTCACTCACCCACTCACCCACTCACTTACACTCACTCACTCACACACTTACACACTCACTCACACACTCACTTAGACACTGACCCACTCACTCACACACTCACTCACACACTCACTTACTCACACACTCACCTAGTCACTTACACACTCACTCACTCACCTAGTCACCCACTCACACACTCACCTAGTCATCTAGTTACTCACTCACACACTCACTCACACACTCGCCTAGTTACTCACTCACTCACACACTCACACACTCACACACTCACTCACACACTCACTCACACACTCACCTAGTTACTCACTCACTCACACACTCACACACTCACCTAGCCACCTAGTTACTCACTCACACACTCACTCACTCACACAGTCACCTAGTTACTCACTCACACACTCACTTACACACTCACCTAGTCACCTAGTCACTTACACACTCACCCACTCACCTAGCCACTCACTCACCCACACACTCACTCACTCACACACTCACTCACACACTCACACACTCACTCACACACTCACACACTCACTTACACACTCACTTACACACTCACACACTCACACACTCACTCACTTACACACTCACCTAGTCACCTAGTTATTCACTCACTCAGTCACTCACTCATACACTCACCTACTCACTCACACACTCAATCACTCACACACTCACTCACTAACACGCTCACTCACACACTCACCTAGTCACCTAGTTACTCACTCACTCACCTAGTCACCTAGTTACTCACTCACACACTCACCTAGTCACCTAGTTACTCACTCACACACTCACTCACTCACACACTCACCTAGTCACTCACACACCCACTCACCTACACACTCACCTAGTCACCTACTCACTCACACACTCACACACTCACTCACTCACCTAGTTACTCACTCACTCACACACACACATAGCCACACACTCACCCACTCACTCACACACTCACTCACTCACTCACCTAGTTACTCACACACTCACCGAGTCACCTACTCACTCACCTAGCCACTCACTCACTCACCCACTCACTCACTTACACACTCACCTAGTCACCTAGTTACTCACCCACACACTCACCCACTCAATTACACACTCACCTAGTTACTCACACTCACACACACTCACACACTCACCTAGTCACCTACTCACTCACCTAGCCACTCACTCACACACTCACCTAGTCACCTACTCACTCACCTAGCCACTCACTCACACACTCACCTAGTCACCTAGTTACTCACTCACACACTCACCTAGTCACCTAGTTACTCACTCACACACTCACCTAGTCACCTAGTTACTCACTCCCACACTCACCTAGTCACCTAGTTACTCACTCACACACTCACCTAGTTACTCACTCACACACTCACTTACTCACTCACTCACCTAGTCACTCACTCACCCACACACTCACTCACACACTCACCTAGCCACTCACTCACTCACACACTCACCTAGTTACTCACTCAGTCACTCAGCCACTCACTCACTCACTCACCTAGTCACCTACTCACTCACACACTCACCTACTCACTCACTCACTCACCCACTCACCCACCCACCCACAGGCAGGATGTGAACCCAGGTTGTGTAACCCCTCTGCGTTGTGTCTTTGTGTTGCAGTGCCAATCATCATCAAGCAGCAACACTAACCGCGGAATGATGCCATCATCATCACCATCATCACCATCATCACCATCATCATCAACATCATCATCAACATCATCATTACCCTCATCATCATCATTACCCTCATCATTACCATCATCACCATCATCACCATCATCATCATCTTTACCATCATCATTACCATCATCATCATCATAAACATCATCATTACCATCATCATTACCCTCATCATCATTACCATCATCACCATCAACATTACCATCATCACCATCATCAACATCATCATCTTTACCCTCATCAACATCACCACCACCATTATCGTCATCACCATCAACACCATCATCATCACCATCAACATCACCATCAACACCACCAACACCATCACCACCATCACCACTCACCACCACTCACCACCATCACCACCACCACGTCTAATTTATTTCTGTGTCACTGTATCGATCGTCAGCTTAATCTTCAATAAACCCGCGTGTTCCAGCTCCTCCGCTCCCAGATTCATTAAACTGTTCCAACTCGCTGTGCTTTAGCCACCCGGCGCTCCGCTCGTTGTTGTGAGCGTCGCTCCTCCGCCCTCCGTTGTTGTTGGAGGGCGACTGCCTCCAACTGCCCCAGTAGCCTCAAGGTGCACCTAGCCTGGCACTAGCCCAGCAGCAGCGTCCTTCACGAGCCTCCTCCTCCAGAGGCCGCTGCTCCCGGCCATCGGCAAGTCCACTCAGCTGCTCCTGAGCAACATCGAGATCCAACTTTTACTCTAGCCACCGTGACACTCACTCGCTCAGCAACTCACTCAGTCACTCACTCAGTCACTCACTCAGTCACTCGCTCAGTCACCCACTCAGTCACTCGCTCAGCAACTCACTCGGTCACTCGCTCAGTCACTCAGTCACTCACTCACTCAGTCAGTCACTCACTCAGACACTCACTCAGTCAGTCACTCAGTCACTCACTCAGTCAGTCACTCAGTCACCCAGCCACTCACTCAGTCAGTCACTCACTCAGACACTCAGTCAGTCACTCAGTCACTCACTCAGTCACTCACTCAGTCACTCACTCAGTCACCCACTCAGTCACTCGCTCAGTCACTCGCTCAGCAACTCACTCAGTCACTCACTCAGTCACTCACTCAGTCACCCAGCCACTCACTCAGTCACTCACTCAGTCACTCACTCAGACACTCACTCAGTCACTCAGTCAGTCACCCACTCAGTCACTCGCTCAGTCACTCGCTCAGCAACTCACTCAGTCACTCACTCAGTCACTCACTCAGTCACCCAGCCACTCACTCAGTCACTCACTCAGTCACTCACTCAGTCACCCAGCCACTCAGTCACTCACTCAGTCACTCAGTCACTCACTCAGTCACCCACTCAGTCACTCACTCGCTCAGCAACTCACTCAGTCACCCACTCAGTCACTCACTCAGTCACCCACTCAGTCACTCACTCAGTCACTCACTCAGTCACCCACTCAGTCACTCACTCAGTCACTCACTCAGTCACCCACTCGGTCACTCACTCACTCAGTCACTCAGTCACTCAGACACTCAGTCACTCACTCAGCAACTCACTCAGTCACCCAGCCACTCAGTCACTCACTCAGTCACTCACTCAGTCACTCACTCAGTCACCCAGCCACTCAGTCACTCATTCACTCGCTCACTCACTCAGCCACTCACTCAGTCACTCAGACACTCACTCAGTCACTCACTCAGTCACTCACTCAGCCACTCACTCACTCACTCAGACACTCAGTCACTCACTCAGTCACCCACTCAGCCACTCACTCGCTCAGACACTCACCCACTCACTCAGTCACCCACGCACTCACTCAGTCACTCACTCAGACACTCACCCACTCAGTCACCCACATACTCACTCAGTCACTCACTCAGACACTCACCCACTCACCCACTCACTCACCCACTCAGTCACCCATGCACTCACTCAGTCACTCACTCAGACATTCACTCAGTCACCCACGCACTCTCAATCAGCCACTCAATCAGTCACCCACGCACTCACTCAGCCTCTCAGTCACTCACTCAGACACTCACCCACTCACTCAGTCACTCAGTCACCCACGCACTCACTCAGTCACCCACGCACTCGCCCACACAGCCACTCAACCAGACACTCACCCACACATTCACCCAGACACTCACCCACTCGCTCACCCAGACACTCGCCCACACACACTCACCCACTCACCCAGCCAGTCACTCACCCTAACACTCACTCAGTCACCCACGCACCCACGCACTCACCCACTCACCCGGCCACTCAACCAAACACTCAACCACACATTCACCCTGACACTCGCCCACCCACTCACCCACTCGCTCACCCACTCACCCAGCCAGTCACTCACCCTAACACTCACTCAGTCACCCACGCATCTCTTCTCTAGCCCGTGCCGCGCCCGTTTAGCCCCCTCGATCCGGCCAAACAAAAGCTGTTTCGGCATGCGGTGGCTGGGCATGCGGGCTACATGACCCAGCCAACGCAGCCTTGCCTGCCGGAGGAGCTCACCGATGGGACCTTGCCCAGATCTTTCAAGGATTTGTGAGCTCCTCACACAATCCAGTCTGGTTAAACCCAGGATGGATCGTAGGCAGGCCAGCCTGAATGTTTCTAACCGGCGAAGATGTTCCATTAGGGGGGTCCACGTTTCGCAAGCGTAGAGAAGGGAGGGAATGACTGTGGCCGAGAAGACCTGAAGCTCAGACACAGACACACACAGACACACACACACATACACACAGACACACACACAGATACACACAGACACACACACACCCATACCCACACACACACACACCCATACCCACACACACCCACACACACCCACACACACACCCATACCCACACACACACACCCATACCCACACACACAAACACACACACCCATACCCACACACTCCCATACCCACACACACACACACCCCCACCCACACACACACACCCATACCCACACACACCCATACCCACACACACCCATACCCACACACACACACCCATACCCACACACACAAACACACACACCCATACCCACACACTCCCATACCCACACACACACACACCCCCACCCACACACACACACCCATACCCACACACACACAAACACACACACACCCATACCCACACACACACAGACACACACACACACCCATACCCACACACACCCACACACAGACACACACACCCACACACCCATACCCACACACCCATACCCACACACACCCACACACCCATACCCACACACACACACCCACCCACACACCCATACCCACAGACACACAAACACACACACACCCACCCACACACACCCATACCCACAGACACACAAACACAGACACACACACAGAGGGAGAGTTTTTGTATATTTGTGGTAACAGCTTTTGTAAAAAAAAAACAGAACATCGTGTGTGTGTGTGTGTGATTGGGTGTGACAGTGTGTGTGTGTGTGAGTGTGACGGTGTGCGAGTGTGATTGGGTGTGACAGTGTGTGTGTGTGTGATTGGGTGTGACAGTGTGTGTGTGTGTGCGAGTGTGTGTGAGGGTGTGAGTGTGTGTGAGTGTGTGTGATTGGGTGTGAGTGTGTGTGAGTGTGTGTGATTGGGTGTGACAGTGTGTGTGTGTGCGAGTGTGAGGGTGTGTGTGTGTGTGATTGGGTGTGACTGTGTGTGTGCGCGAGTGTGTGTGTGTGTGTGATTGGGTGTAACTGTGTGTGAGTGTGAGGGTGTGTGTGTGTGTGTGTGCGAGTGTGAGGGTGTGTAAGGGTGTGTGAGTGTGTGTGTGTGAATGTGTGTATGTGAATGTGTGTGAGTGTGTGTTCGGGTGTGAGAGTGTATGTGAGTGTGAGGGTGTGAGTGTGTGTGAGTGTGTGTGATTGGGTGTGACAGTGTGTGTGTGTGTGTGTGCGAGTGTGAGGGTGTGTGTAAGGGTGTGTGAGAGAGTGTGTGTGTGAACGTGTGTGTGAATGTGTGAGAGTGTTTGTGTTAGGGTGTGAGAGTGTGAGTGAGTGTGAATGTGTGTGTGAGAGTGAGTGTGTGTGAATGTGTGTGAGTGTGTGTGAGTGAGTGTGAATGTGTGTGTGAGTGTGTGTGAATGTGTGAGAGTGTTTGTGTTAGGGTGTGAGAGTGTGTGAGAGTGTGTGAGTGTGTGTGAGTGTGTGTGAATGTGTGTGTGAGAGTGTGTGAGTGTGTGTGAATGTGTGTGAGGGTGTGTGTGTGACTGTGTGTGTGTCTGTGTGTGTATGGGGAGCGGTAGTGTAGCGGTTAGCGCTACAAATCTGGCGACCCGGGTTCGATTCCCGCTCACGGCCAACACCACCAGTGACGATTCTCTGAACCAGTCCCGGGCCTCCCCTAGGTCGACTCAGCCTGAAATGAGTACCTGGTGCAGTGTGTAGTAAACATCGTCACTAGGGAGACAAAGGCGGTCGGGCGTGGTGCTGGCCACCCACCCCCTCGTGTACCGTTCCGGCCTTCATAGGTGCTCGCTAACAGCACTTGCCCCTACAGTCTGTTAAGGCTGTATGGGGGATCTTTGTGTGTGTGTGCGTGTTATTTTGTGTGTGTGTCTGTGTGTCTGTGTGTGTGTCTGTGTGTGTCTGTGTGTGAGTGTGTCTATGTGTGTATGTGTCTATGTGTGTATGTATATGTGTGTATCTATGTGTATGTGTGTGTATATGTGTGTATCAATGTGTCTGTGTGTGTATATGTGTGTGTCTATGTGTGTGTGTCTATGTGTGTCTATGTGTGTGTGTGTCTATGTGTATCTATGTGTGTGTGTCTATGTGTGTGTGTGTTTATGTGTGTGTGTCTATGTGTATCTATGTGTGTGTGTCTATGTGTGTGTGTGTCTATGTGTATGTGTGTCTATGTGTGTGTGTGTCTATGTGTATGTGTGTCTATGTGTGTGTGTGTCTATGTGTATGTGTGTTTATGTGTGTCTGTGTGTGTGTTTATGTGTCTATGTGTATCTATGTGTGTGTGTGTGTCTATGTGTATCTATGTGTGTGTGTCTATTTGTGTGTGTCTATGTGTGTCTATGTGTATCTATGTGTGTCTATGTGTGTGTGTCTATGTGTGTGCGTGTGTCTATGTGTGTGTGTGTCTATGTGT